AATTTTTTTGTGTGCTTTAATTCAGATGTTTATTACAGTGCCTTAGAGTGTGCGTATATATAAAACACGCATGTGCCAAGTAAAAGAGAGAGAGTACATTCACCATGTACCAAACGAGACTAAAAAAATCTAAGATTGGATTCAGAATAGAGATTCAATTACAATTGCACAAACAAATGCCACGTACATCCTTTCAACTTCATTTTCAAACATTATGAATAGAGTTCCTGTTGCCACTATCAATAACTTCCTTCTAACTACTACTCTGCCTCGTGCCAGCTTGTGATGGGGGTTGATCACCATCACAAGGAGTTAGTAGGTGCATTCAAATATTGGATGGGAAGGAAGCCGGATTCCATATATATATATATATATATATATGATGGCAGAAGGATGGATGGCTGAAGATAAACATTTGATTTTCGAAGTTCCTGTCGCCATTATCCAGACAAGTTCTCCAACACCACCATCTTACACATCCATTACCTATTTAACACTTAATGAAGATAAAACTGAACACGGCCACCAATTATCACCATCTAACCAAAGCAATAGAACATACTCAATTTATTTATGGACAAAAATAGCAAATTAATATTCCGAACCATCAAAATCAGTTCTGCCTACTACCTATGCGGCGTGGCCCTTCCCTTTTCCATTCCCATTTACCTCGGCACTTTCCTTTCTCTTACGGAATGTCATGTTCAATGAAATTTCAATATCTCTTTTTCAACTATTCTAGCTAGACTATCGAACATGGTAGGCAAATCTTCGAATTCCTCGATGGCTTCGAGATTCACTGCTTCATTAGTCGTGCTAGATTCACCGCTTGATTCTTCGTTTATGACCCAATCAAAATACCCACAGTTAACAATACATGAATAATCACCCTTTGTTCTTTGTCTCCCTTTCAATTTTAAAACATTTTTGCAGTCCATGCGTACACCATGGGCATCGTCGTTTTATCGGGCAATTCAGGAAGGAGTGGTCCGTATTTCTACAGTTGTGACAAACCCCAAAATTCCTCCCCCTCATCCTGGAAAAAAACACTGAATTATTACTATCGAAAAATCAAGTGAAATTCTTGAGAATTACATAATTTCTCAACAGATGTTTCGCCTAAACTTTAAATTAACTTCTCCATATGCTAACATGAATCATATGTTTAAATCTACAAGTTGAACTACATTGTGATTAACAAATTTAGCCTACATTTAAAGTTTACATTTGCTTAAGAAATCACAATAAGCAGAAGATTAAAAAGATCCCAACATACCTAATTCAATTATTGTACATACAAACCGAATACTAAAACTTTGAGAAAATAAAATCACAAAAAGGCTCTCAAATCACAACCACTCAAACAAATGTCAGTTTCTTCTAGGCTCAAGAATTTTAACCTCTACAAGTTATACTTTCATTTGGATCATAAATACACACATTGATATGCAAATTCTATACAAACCTGAATTACACCCTGGTTCTTCATAATACAGACTCATGACCAAAACACAAATCAATTTAAAAATCACAAAAAATAAAAACTAAATAAGAACCCAAAAAACCCAGTTCAAAGAATACAAACACCAATCCCGTGGAGGGAAAATCAACAGCTACAGAGAGATGTAGAAATGAGTCCAAGTGGGTTTAAATTACTGATTGTCAAAATAAGGAGTGATTACTGTGGAGTGGGTTGTCTACCAATCGAAGTAGAGTGACGTGATTTCGGCTTACCTGAAGCTAAACGATGGTAAATACTGGGTCGACACTACTCCACAGGCTCAATGTTATGGATTTTGCTGCGACAATTCGTTGATCGGGCTGGCGGAGGTGGATTTCGATCGGGCAGAGGTGGAGGCGAATTTTAGGGTTCGAAATGGTGAGAGAATAATGGTTTCCTTCTTCTTTCCTTTCGTTTGGGGCTTTGTTCTGAGGGAAAAATTCGTTCGATTGTGTGCCAGACATGTGATTCTGTGAAGGTTCTGTAAAAACCCATTCTGTACGTCTAGCACTGCCGATTGATTAATTATATATGTAGGCCCACATGACAAATTAATAATTTGTCCCAACAAACATGTCTAATATGAATCCATAAGTTAAATCTTAAGTATAAACGACTAGCACACTAGGGGGTGTGCAAAATTATTGAACAATAAAAAATGCTTATATTTCTTTCAACGGACTATTACATATTAGCAAAATCGTTAATAAAGCATACGCGAATAATTGAGAATGTTAAACCTATTAAACATAACTTCAGTACCAATGAGAGAATATCATGTGGAATGGTGAATAAAACGTGAAATGGTAATAGATTTAATAAAAATTCACTAAATAATGATTGCAATGTGTCACTAGAAAAAAATACTAAAGTTGACCTCGAATTTTGCACTTCCAACATGGCTAACAGATCCCGACTCTATTCAAGTCCATGTAAGCCCCTTTCCTATACACTTAGACAAACTGTTAGTCACGGTCTTCTCCAATGGTGGGAAAGCAGTCACGAGTACTCCGATAGTCAAGTCAATTGACGAAAATGATAAATTGAGTGTAGGTCATGCTTGAGATGTGAGCCATAAAAAGTGTATGTATAGCATAAATGAATCAATAATAGAGAGAGCAAGTTTACGTTTGAGTGTATAAAGTTGCATTACCTTTAAAATGACACTGAGTATGAGTTCTTATAGTAGAATAGGAAAAATTCTGACCGTTGAATTAAAAGACATGTGGCATCTTATGGCCGATATGTCTCCTTATAGGTATCAATCCGTCAATCATAAGTTGACCGGCATTTAATGCTCTCAGAAAAATAGATTGCCAATTTAACCTTTAGGCAGTCTGCTGTAGAGGCATCGTAACAATCAATTGTAGGAAGATTTTATCATAGAAAGATCTCTATGTAAAAGATTGCTTGAAAGAGCTGAGGTGGAAAGATGCTTTCCATAAAAGAAATGGCTCATTCCTTACAACTCTCTTCCTACAGCAAACGTCGTATCTTGCTTAGGCCATAGAGGTCAACCTCTGCATGGCACCTCCGTGGAAATAATATATCACCTCGATTACCTTATGTGTGGCTTCACCTCGGCCAGGAGGATGATGTGGAGTGTGAGCCTGTTTTGCTTGCTAGTTGGCTGTCAAGTGAAGGTGATCTAGAGCCTTTCCAAAATAGGCTCAACAACTAAATAACCCATTGGCCTAATCAGATATCTATAAGGAAAATGCGTGTTATAAATCACCCTTTACATAATCTTTTATAGATTGATGAGGTGTCAAAAAGAAAGTAAGAATTTTTTTAATTTGATTAATGAGATTTTGACACAATCAAATCTTGCCACATCATCTGTTGATATGTAGCAAAACCGTATCTATTTGGAGCAAATGAGGATATAAAAAATTGAATACACATTCCTGTTAAATGGTTAATTCTTTCTTACTTCTTAGTTTCAACAGATCTCATTGAATTCAGGGAACGAAAACTCTTATTAGGTGAGAAGAATTTGTTAATCATGATTTTGAGGTTAACAATGTTTTTGCCCGTTTGACATAGTTTTTGCTTTTGATTTTGCTCTCTGTAGAAGAGTTTTCTGATAAAACTATCTTAATTTTGTTTAGAAATTAATAGAAGTGCTTCTAAAAAAAATTCAAGTTCGGACCATTTTCTTCTAAAATGTCTATTAGTTAGAAGACACACTTTTTTAAAATTAGCCCGACAGATCCATAAGCAACTTCTGTGGTCTCAAAAGCTTCTTTCGACTTCTCAAAAGTCACGCCAAACGGGTTCTTAATAAACATCTCAGTATGTTACGTGATCTGTTATTCACTTCTTTTCATTTAATACTTTAGGAATGGAAGTTTATTCTACATCCCAACAAAATGGTTTCGTGGAACCATATTCGAAAAGGAATTTATTCTACTTTAAAGTTATTTAGATGTTTCTTTTGAGTGAAACGTGACAGGTTCATTAGCTTGAGAGGCATATTGGTAATGGATAAACTTAAAGTTATGATTTGATGTTCTTTAATTGAAATGCAACCTCTAAATATTTTTTTTTTATTTTATAAATTAAATATAGTTTTGATTGCAGAATTGAAGTACTCTGATTACCTCCAACCACTTGTATGTTCTATTTTTCATCGAGGCATTTTAGTTTCTGTGATTGCTTTATTCAGTATGTAGGCTGATCTATGGCTTTTGATGGTGCAAGTCTGTCGCTTTAAGCCGAGAGGAGACCCAGACTCAGGGGTGGATGGAGGGGGGCAGGATTGGGCTTCAAGGGAAAATAAAAAAGGGGAATTTTTAAGATTAAAAAATAAAAAAACTATGGAAATTATTTTTTGTCCCCCTGGCTTTGCCGCTTCCTAGACTTTTAACAATTGGTTTTCACTTGGGCCTGTTTGATAGGCATGAATTTTCCATGGAAAATGGAATTCGAATTTCAACTTTCATTTTTTTTGGCTTTTTGATAGGTTTTTTTTTTTTCCCCAATGGAATTGATTTTCTTGGTTTTCTCGAAAATTGAACTTTTCTTGTTTTTCATTATTCCCACCAATTGGTTTTTCTAGGCTACTATTCCTATTTTTTGGACAATGGAAACAAATTCTATTCCAAGAAAGAGAAGAATAAAAATCTGATGCATTAATTGAATTGAGGAACGGGCTAATGATTCGAATTACATGATTTTTTTTTTATTTTTTACAATGGAAACAAATTTTATCCCTAATATCGGTAAATTCTATCTCTTTAATTGACAATTTTCATATAAAATAATGTCAAACGAACACCAAAAAATACTTTTATTTCAACATTTTTCACGTGAAAAATTATACAAATCAAACACACTAATTAACAATTCCCAGTAAAATAATTTCTAGACAATTCAATTTCCTGGAATTCGTTTTCTTTCCACTCAAATTCTATCTTTACAATCAAACAGACTCATATAATCAAAACCTTACTAGCGTACCTTATGCATGCAGAAAATTCAGCTTAAACGTAGGATGTTCACCAATCTTAATCATCCAATTATGATCACAAATAACCAACCAAAAGTTAAATCAATATTAGCACCATAAGTTTGGATGAGTACGTAATTTTATCTCGTTACATTCAAATGGTTGAACTCATCATTTTTCATGTACGGTAGCCGGTTTTCCTTTTTCACTGTTAGTATATCTACTCGATTGCAATCACAACTTATTGTTGATGAGACCAAAAACAAGAAGCAGCCCCATAGCCAGAGAGTGATCCATGTAGGGCTCCACCACCATTGTCAATACATCTTCACCTAGAATCACTCCACTTGTCGTTATCTTTCTCTTTACCTGTCCCACAAAATGTGAAACTTGTTAGATTGAGGTCTTAAAACTAGAATAAGTTCAGAAGCGGATTACAGACACTGCCCGGTACACACAGCACAAAAAATTTCGCGCATGATCAGGAGGGATTAAGTGCTTTTGTGTAAGTGATTTTTCTGAAGTTAATTTCCTTTACACTCATTTTTCAATCACACATTCTTCAAAAAATAAAAATAAAAACAAAAATCTCATATTTTCCGATAAATTTTCCAATTTTTCAACTACACATTTCCAAAAATATCAAGTTTCAAATATCACTTCCACGCAATTACTAATTTTTTAGGTACATATCACGGAATGAATATATAATAAGAGGATAACAAGTTGTGGGTCCTATGAAAGGTGAGGATAAAATTTTTGTTTACAGCTTAAAACTAAAAAGTTAAGGTTCACCAAACATGCATAAATTCCTAGGTGTGGAAGAAATGAAGAGTAATATTGGTTAACACCATGGGTACTGTTAAGCATCAGTTGGTGTAATGCTAGATTGGTGCTAAGTACCGATGGTGTTATATAGCATTAAAAGAAAAGAGTTAAATATTACTAACCTCTGCGACAAGTCCGCCGAAGTTGTCAATTATTTTGCAGGATGACTTGCAACTTTGATTTTCCATGGTATATTGACATGGTTGATTCACATCTAAACCAACCACAACTTCCAAGTGTGTGTATGCTCCAAGAATTCCCAGTTTTTTTCTTACGCGAAATCCAGGCTTCCTCTTATCCGTGCCACTAACTCTGTAACCCTCCCACCGCCCCAAAACTGTAAATTTCTGCATACAAGTAGGAAATGTTAAATTAACCACAGTAATAAAGGTTGTATAACTTTTCAAAACACTTATTGTTATTAACCTTCTTAACTATTGTGAACAGAACTTTGCCTGTGATATCCATAAGAAAAACTTGGCTGCTACATTTGTGATTATAGTTATCGACTCGATATACAACTCGGCCGCTCGAATTAAACACAGTGCACCCATGGCTGTGTAGAATCAGAGACTTCATCCAAACAGTGAATACTTCTTGTTTAGATGAAGTAGAAGAAGAAAGTGTGTGTGGATACACTTTTGCCATGCAAAAAACAAAATTGTATGCTACAGCTCTAAACTTAATTTAGAAACTTAGTGCATGTGTGACTTGCAATCACAGTTGACTATATACTCTCTGGCCATTTTTGTAGATGAATCTTTTGTATAAACAAAAAGAAACTACAAGTTGGGGACTTTTGTGGTGTGGGGGGGGGGGGGGGGCTGGGAGG